CCTTAGAAACCCTGCAGGGCAGGGCCTCGGGCTGAGTCCCCGGGGCTGGCACACTGTGCGCGCTCGGTGATTTGTGGAATGAATGACTCTAACCATCACCGATCAGCCCGTCCATTGTGAAACGTCTCCTGCTACAGCATAGATGAACCTTGAAACATTATGCTTCATGAAAGAAGCCAGATACAAAAGGACACATTGTATGATCCCATGTGCATGAACGGTCCCCAACAGGCAAATCCATAGGCAGAAAGTAGATTAGTGGTTGCCAGGGGCTGCGGGGGAGGGGAAAATGGGTGTACGTGGCTGTTAAAGAATAAGGGATTTCTTTTGGGGGGGTGATGGAAATGTTCTGAAATTAGTATTTATTGATGATCACACAACTCTGTGAATATACTAAAAGCCACTGACTTGTACAATTTAAAAGGGTGCATGTTATAGTGACTTACATCTCAGTAAAGCTGTAACAAAACCAAAAGCAAATGAAAAACTTCTCTCTCTTCCTGTTTTTCTATTCCCCGTCTTCTCCTGAAAGGATCTAGAGTATCTTTCAGGGCCCCATAAAGCATGACTAGATGCAGCTACTGAAGATGTGTCAGAAAAGAAGAAATAAACATGAGGAGTCAGCATGACCAGGCACATCCTCAAAGCCTTTCTTTGTTTCTTCTGTTCTAGACGGGACACTCAACTTGGCCCATTCCATCCCAAGGTACTTTGTAGCCCCTCAGCAGGCTGGGCCTGGCTCTATCCCCGCCTTCTCCACAGAGCCTCTCAATAGAGGCTGCCTTCTGGGTTGGGCGTGTGGGTGGATCTCAGTCGCCTCTGATGCAAAGTAAGGGTGCAACAAGGATTTGTGCATCAGTGGGAGGATTCTGTGTCTCTAGGCTACAGAGGGGCAGATTGGCACAGGTTAAGTTTCATCACTTTCTTCTGTGTGAGTTTTGCCTCCTAGCCTTAGTGTCCTCATCTGTGAATGGGGTCAGTAAGACAGAGAAAGCCTGCTCTGGTCTCCTTGGCCTTCCCATTCCTAGTTCAGTCCATTGCCCATCCACAGCCTGTATCTCTCTGAAAAGTGTTACATTTATGGAATATTTATTTATTTATTTATTTATTTATTTATTTATTTTTACTTTTGATGACTGGAATTTGTATTAAATATCATTAATTTGTTCAGAAACAAAAGTATAGGCAGAATGTGTGTGTATATGTATATATATATGTATATACACATTAGTTAAAGGGAGTGAGGGTAAAACTAGCCCTAGAATCACCTAGAGAATCTTTTAAATGGTGTTGTCGCTGCCTGGATCACTGTCCCCTCTCTCTCTCCCCTTTTCCATGTTTGCCCTTCAATACTTTATTCAAGCACCGTCTGTACTCTGAAGCCTTACTTGCCCATCTTTGACCCTTCCTTGACCCCTCTCCACCCCAAACAAAGCAAATCCCACATCTTGCTCTATGCCTGTATCTTGACACACACATATCTCCACTATTACACAAATTCATGTGCTGTTTCATTTATTAATTCATTCAACAGACTTTTCTGGAATTCCTGCTAGGTGTGAGGCACTTCAGTAGGTGCCAGGGATAGAAAGAAGACACTTTCAGGGATCTTAGGGAAGGAGGCAAATTATGGTTGGTCCTATGTTAGAGTTATATTCAGAGTGCTGTGGGTGGGATGTATTCTTTTTCAGTTATAGTTAAAGATTCTCCAGCAATAGATAAATATGGATATAGATAAAGTATATATATATACACACACACCCATATATATGGATCGCTCTGTGTATATAGACATACCTATCTATCTAGAGAGATTTAGTTATATTTTAAGAGCCCATAGCTTGGCATTGATGTCTCTCTCTCTCAGATAATTGGGTTCTTTATGAATGAGAAGATGTACAACTTTGGGAAGAAGCCTGCAGTGAGGGCCTGGACAACCTCAGGAATCCACACGTGACCCTGATCTGAAAACATGCAGACTTGGCCAACCTGGCTTCATCCTGTCTTCCCCAACACGACTTAGGGAACCAGCCTTTCACTCCTTTCTTTAATTAGCATTTTCTCTCAAAGTGGAAAAGTAATGCATGCTTAACTTGGGAAACACAGAGAAGTCCAAGAGGAAGAGTAAACCACCCACTTTTGCATCATCCAGAAATAATAATTGTCAATATTGTTGTCTCTTCTTATTTTCCCCTTGTATACTATAACAACATCTACAATAACAAGATTTACATACAGCTCACCACATGCTGGACTGCTCAAAGCTCCCTGCACGTTAACTCATTTAATCTCCCTCCTCGACCCTTTGAGGGAGGTACTATGACTTTCCCTGTTTACAGATGTGGGAACTGAGGTCCAGAGAAGTTAAACGACTTGGCCAAGGTCGCAGCCCTTATAAGGAGCAGAGCCGGGCTTTGAACCCAGGCGGTTGGCTCCACAGTCTGCCAGCCTAACCTTGCTCTCTGCACTGTCATGCCTCAGTGCAATGATAAAAGGGATGCATGCTCCATGCTGAGAACTTGCAAAGCAGGCATGTTCGGAAAAAACACACCCACCCGAGGAGAACAGCTGCCAGTATTTAAGTGTAAATCAGCCCAGTATTTTCCCCAGGCATATATTCTCCACGTAACTATGACAATGAAGTCATGCTGTGCAGGCCTTTTGGTAACTGCTTTTTTCCCCCCTTTTGCAAATATCATGAGTTTTTCTCTTGTCAATAAGTTCTAGCCTACAATACGATGGTAATGGTGCATCTGATCCCTGGATTTGGGTCATGCATCCATCCTCCCGCGTTGTTGGGCATCTGGCTGGCTTCATACTATAAATAATGCCAGGTGAACAGTCTTACACTCACGCCTCTGCACACATGTCCAATGGCCAAGTGGAGTTGCTGGGTCAGAGGAATACATATTTGTAAGGCTTTGACCTCCCCTC